AGGCCATAGCGCAACTTAATGTATCATATGTCTGTAATATCGCTCGTTGATGAGTGAGGGTTTTCTAGACCAGAGGAGAAATTCTTAAAGAAGAAGGGGGATTCCGGGCCACGCAAATGTTCCTTAGAATGGATTGGTTCAATAAGAGAGAAAAGGTGTTGTTCGAAGATTCCACATTAGAAATATGGTTCATTGTGCGGACTGTTTTTCACAAATCCTTACAATTACGGGAGAAGGGACCAACTGAAACTACTACTATGAACTTACAATTAGTGTGTGATACTCATTTTGAATAGTAATTTACAATGAAATTAATTCAGATTGAGTTTCACTAAAGCCTAATGCTTCCTTGGTTTTGCGAGGTGTTCTCAAAATGGAAACGTTGTCTAATAGTAAGTAAACGACTAGTTAAAAATATAAAAGCGCAGCCATCTTGTTACTGTCTCTCGTAACTGCAATTGAAATTACATTGAGTCATTCGTTTTGGCTGCGTTCGAGGAATGAACTTTGCTAATAAACTTCTTCTGAGGATCGTTGGACGCTATGGCTGAGTATGCTGTAAATGCATCTCTGTGGTCGTCAATGATTAAGATTAGATTTTCACGGAGACGGATGACTTCTAGCGTTAACATCGCAAGATGTGGGGAGAGATGGAGGGAAAATGTGACATTTGTGATATTATTATTGTGATATTACTGGTAACACAGAAGAGATGTAAACTTGTAGTGAGTTACAATCGCTAATAATCGAATAAAACTGAGAACAAATACATCAGTGGAATAGTCCGCTAGTTGAGAAGCATATACAGACCAAAATCGTGAAGTTGATAGCTCATATCTGACAGCTATATTTATATATCGTACACCCCTAGACATAAGTACCATAGAATATATGTACAATATCAACATGACGACGGCTTGCTGAGCAGAACCGGGAACTATATTGAAGTGAATGACGGGCAGTGAATTGATGGTCCGAAAGTAGGCTCTTCTAAGCAGGTTTTCATTACTTCATCTCCATATGGAAACGGTTTGAATTGTTCATGGTGAAAATTCAAAATATGCTTCGGATCAATGTGGTTTGAGCAATATTCAGCAATGTCTGCGATCAATTGTAAGTAGTAACATAATGTGTCACAATTAGTCCAGTTTCAGCCTAGGTCACAATTTAGCCTAACATAAGCTTATTTTTGAGCTTCAGCGCAAGTCTAATAGTAAGTCAAATCCTGAGTCTGACTAAAGTAAATGGATTTGAATTGTACGCAAATGATTTGTGCAGAGTTTCGAGTGTTCTGTGGTGATCGTTACCTCAATTAATGCACTGTCAAAAATTTCTTAAAGTGTATTGTTTTCGCACCGACTCTAGCATAGGTCTGTTTTAGGTATAGAAGATAATAACTTGTAGGCTGCCAACTGCTCCTCTCCTCTCATTGTATCATGTAAGTCTTAATATTCAAAACATGGCTTGAACGCTTTGGATGACTGAGCGATTTATTACACATCTGCTATGCAATTTTTCACTACAATTACAAACTGTCGGAGTTTCACCTTGCCGTGGACCAAATTATCGTAGACCCTTACAAAAAGGAATGTTATATAGGGTTGGTAGCAGAAGCCAAGTTGCACTTTTGAAGCGATGCGGTCATGTAGAGCACAGAGAAAAAGAGATCCAACAGGGCGAATTAAT